TATTTATTTATATAATTTTATGTATATTTTTCCAAGAATATTTTTGGAATTGTTTTATAATCTTAAATATTTCAATTTATGGGATATTAAGAGTCGCAACATATCTTTCAGAATCAGCAGACATTATTTGATCAAGCTGTGGATAGCGCAACACTGCCAGATTCCAGAGTGGACGTAAAAATTTCTTCATCATCATGTACGATAAAGCTAAGGTACTATATAAAATATTAAGCAATGGGTATTTCATGGGTGCATAAAGCCCGATTTGCATTTTTTTCCTTACATAGATTTCCCGTCCCAGACTTGAGACCATTGCATGATATGAGTCGTGCACCATGGTGGAAGAGATCCGTGAGACCCGATTACATGATAGCGCAAATGACAGATGCTCAAATTCATTCCACTATGGACAGTCGATCTCATTATCTAGCCAGGCACGAATTGCAGTGTCGCCGGTTATTACTGTTATACGTAGAGACCGAGGATGACACGCCGATCGAGATTGGTCTTGCCACAGCCGACGAGAAAAGCGATGCTGCGTCGTATCAGCAGGTCAGCGACGACCTTGGTTGGACAAGAGTGGTGGTCATTGTGTATCCAGAACGTCTCAGTGCCCCATTGGAAGATAGTTCCGAGGAAGAGCCCGAGAACGATAAACGGATTTTGGATGATAGCTTGGAAAAAACCCCGAAGCACGCGCCTTCTCCCTTCACTTCTAGACGAATCATGCGCGAATCTGATACGCTTCATTCGAAATCTCATGAACACGGTGAAAAAAACGAGCAAAGGTTAGTGCCTTGAAATGTTTTAGAATAAATTAATGTGATTATATATTTATAATACTTTTTTATTATTATTCTAAAACAGTGACGGCGAGGAATTAATTATACCCGGCAATCGACAAGAGATGTTGGAATTTATAGAGGAAGGTATACACGGCTCTAGATTGCAATTAGAAATCAATCTACCTTGCGCTTCCGTCCAAATACCGTCTAAACGCATTTACGAACAACTCTACAATCGATTCAATACCGATCTATTTCTGTGGGAGCCGTCTGCGCCCAGACCCAAGTACACCACTTATATGGAAAGTCACATCGGCCTCGACTTGGCATCGACTCTCTTACAGGAATCCGCTTATCCTAGGTAAATATTCTAAAAACATTTCGAGGAAATTTTGAAATATTCCTGAAAATTATTTGTATAATTTGTAGATTCACCATGTGCAAAAGCGGGATCCAATATAATTCCGACTCCGACTCGGATGAGGAAGGTATTTTTCAATCTACGACGAACGAGAAGAATCGCAAGGATCATCAGCAGACACGAATGTCATCGAAGAAAGCTCAAAGCAAACTTGCAATGACTCTGAGCATTAATCAGGGTCTGCTGTCTATGTACACTCCCGTACGCGATTCCATGCGCAACGTTATACCCGGACAACAAGGAGAACTCATTATTCGATTGGAGGATGCCACAATATTCTCCGTAACAGCGTACAAGGGGAATGTGAATCTGAGCTACGCTTGCGCCATGATGAAGAGCATATCGCTCGATCATTGCGGTTTGACCACGAGCCCGTCACAGACACCACCGTTGAGATGTATCAATAGCGTTACACCACGACATTGCGAGAGAACAATATATCGCAGCGGACCCGGCACCAGTATAGCAGCGAATCCCAGCGACAAGGATATGATGACGATTGCGGTGAGGATACAAGCAGCTCATCAAACGCATCGTATTAAGACGTTTCGTGTCGCGATAAGTATAAGCAATGCCACATTGAGGCATCGAATGTGCCCCACCACCACAACGTGGTTCACAGAGTTCTTAGACTGTCTAGATGTGGCGGATCATCCGGTCGCGGGCTACACACCGCCGGGCGTTTTAACCGAACTGCATTTACATCTTTGGGATTGCGCGATTGATTATAGGCCGCTTCACCTGCCGTTGAGATCTATTGTGACCCTTGGCAATTTCAGCGTATCGAGCAACATCACCGCGCAAACCAATACGTCGACGTTACGCTTCATCGCAGAAGACGTCGCACTTTTTATATCGGACAAATTAATGCGCGAAAAGTCAGGAGTGGATATCAGGCAGGATTTTGTGTGCGTGATGAATTTTGGCCTGTTCGAATTGTCGCTGCGCCTGAACGAGAGAATGTATGGCGGTACGCCGCGCGTTGATCTCCGAGCGAGCAACAATGTGTTACACATACGCACGTGCTCGGATTCTGGTCGCGCTCTCATGCAACTGCTCACGTATGTCGCTAACGATGGCGATCTGCAACAGCAACCGAACAACAGTGCGACTAGTCACGGTAGCACCGAGAGCATACCTACCACTGTGCCACCAACATCTACGACGTACGAGGAGAATCTTTTGGGCGTCGAGAGTATCAATACTCTAAGCAGAAGTCAGGTCGAGCGAGTCTACAGCTTGATGGAGGATGCGTTGGAGGAGACCGTGAAGGGAACGACGATAACGACCCGAAGCGGGAATGAAAACGGGAAAACGCCAATGACGGAGAATCGAGTCGAATTTTTTTTCCCCGACGAGTCGTGTGCTTTGCGTGCAATAGAGACGCGAACAAAGAGTTCGCAAGAATGCAGTAAAACAATCGCGTGCGGCATGAATGACGATGACGACGATGACGACGAATTTTGTATCCTAGGAGAAGAGGCCGGTGCGGGAATAATACCGCGCTACGGAGTACCTGAGGTTCGGTCGTTGTGCCAAGAACCGTTGAGAATAGTGGATAATCACTTTTCCGTGCCGGTCGGAAAAACCGATCTGTTGCAGACTCCGCCAAATTATCCTGCACCAGTCTTGAAGTATACTCTCTGCGAGATGACACTGATATGGCACATGTACGGCGGCAACGATTTTGATAGCTCGCAGTTACAATGCTCCGCGAAACATGTGACCATCAACGACAACGCTCGCAATAATATTGCGCATGGAAGGTACGAAAATTAAAATTAAGAGATTAAAAGAAATTTAAATCTTGAATATAGATTTCGTTAACTCTCTCCTTCTCTCTCTCTCTCTCTTTCTTTTTATTTAATAGGAGTAGGTCCGCTATAGGTGCAGTAAGCTTCAACAAGTCTAATCCGAATGAAGTACACTTCGGCAGCATGCCAAATTCGCCGCGCGCAACGAGAAGCAACGAATCATTGATTGATTGGCACGCGCTGGGCGGCCCGGGTCGACGGCATGATGTGCTGATGGAACTGCAATTGAGCAAGGTTCGCTTCCAACATGAGGTCTATCCGGAGAACACTCGGGAAGCATCCAGGCAAGTGCTACTGGTGCACGAGATCGAAGTAAGGGATAGACTGGCGTCGTCGCACATAAACAAATTCCTTTATCAGTACAGCAGCGAGGCGAGACCCAGGCAGTCTCACTCCATTATGTTTACAATGAAGGCAGTTCACGTAAGGCCGGATCCCAGATTAAGTGCCCAAGAATGTTGTTTGAAACTTAGTCTACTGCCACTGCGACTGAACATAGACCAAGATAGCCTACTGTTCTTAATACAATTTTTTAACGAACTAGGCGGTGGATCGAAGCGAAGCCAAGAAAGCTCTAACACACCCAATAGCTCGCAATCCACCCCCGTATCGAAACAAGGAACACCTACACATCATCCGCCCATTATGAGCGTGAATGATGATGCGTTGAAGAATGACGCGATGATGAATATGTCGCAGAATAATATCATTGATCAGAATCTATTGATACTTTTGGAAGACGAGCTGACATTCAGGGACAATAAGACTAAAACCAAGGCTGTCCACCAGATCCACGATGATAGTCAACCGATATACTTTAGGTATGGAATCGAAATTATTATTATCGGGAAAATTGCAATGATTCACAAATTGTTTAAAATTGTGTGCGTCTATTTAGAAGCGTGGTATTTGGCCCGGAAGTTCTCATCAGGTTGGATTACCAAGGGAAACGTATGGATTTCACTCACGGACCATTGGCGGGTCTGTTAATGGGTTTAGCAGAACTGAATTGCTCCGAATTAAGACTAAAGAGACTGTCGTACAGGCACGGGTTATTGGGCTACGATAAGCTTCTCGCGTATTTGGCTTCAGAATGGTTGCAAGACATCAAGAAGAATCAACTTCCGAGTTTACTCGGCGGCGTGGGCCCGATGCATTCTGTGGTGCAGTTATGTGAGTATATACATATATATATATATATGGCTTATAATTCTGATTCTGTGGGAATTAAACGCAGTATCAAATCATTTTTGAAAATACGTCGAATTATATAAGAAATTTTATGCACTATTCCTGAGTAGTGATCAAAAGTATCTCGTTTCCTCATTTAAAAAATAAAATTTGCATTAGCATAACGAATTTATAAATACAAGTAGATTATATACACAAATATAATGCAATTGATGGCACTGTTATTCTAGTTCAAGGGATACGCGATCTATTTTGGTTACCGATCGAACAGTATCAGAGAGACGGAAGAATTGTCCGTGGTTTACAGCGCGGGGCGAATAGCTTTACAACGTGTACTGCGATGGCTGCATTAGAATTGACATGCAGAATCGTGCAAGCGTTACAAACCACAGCTGAGACCGCGTATGATATAGTTAGTCCCGGTCCCAGCGTAAGATGCAAAAATAAGGGACAAAAGGGTCGTCGAAAGAGATACAGCCAGCCACTGGATATTCGAGAAGGGGTAGCTAACGCTTACACCTTGGTAAAAGAGGTGAGATATTCGAAAATTATATATACGTTCGAAAATAATAAAATAATATATATAATATCTCTTACATATTTTAATCGATAAACTTGTGAATTATATCTTATATCATAAACTTTTATTTTTACGAAATATACTTTCCGCCCTTTCATCTTGTTTTCTACGTACTCATTCTCCGTTTGTACGCTTTTCCTCTTTCTCGCATCTTTCTAAGTAAATCTAATCTATTTTAGCTATTTGCGTTTTTATGATAAAAGGATTTTTGTTTTCTTTTTACTTCCTTTTCTCTCTCTATAACATCTTGATTTATAATATCTATAATATTTGATTATTTAGGGTTTAGGCGAGACTGCGACTCAATTGGTTCGAGTGGCAAGTGAGGAACACGAGCATAAGGGCACGGTCGGTGCGGTCGGCGGTGTACTACGACAAATTCCGCCAACGGTCGTAAAACCAATTATCCTGGCCACAGAAGCGACCAGCAATGTCTTGGGTGGCATGCGATCTTCGTTGGTGCCCGATGCGCGACGAGAGGCGGTACAGAAGTGGCGACAAAATTCCGATACCAGTTAATTCCGGGTTATAAAAAGGAGATCGTTAAATCAGATCTCGTCAGTCAATTTCGCTCAAATAACGCTTTTTCTCGATTGCGGCCAATCAGGCGAGCCGAGTCACTTTTTATTATAACATATTCATGACATATATAACGAAAGAGAATACTAGATAAGAGTGCCATACGTTTTCGCGTTGCGTCTGGCGACATTGTGATTGTAGCGATTTATTTTCACACTAGATCTGTGCGATTTACTCTCGCTTGATCTGTACGATTGGGCCTCGATGGATCGACATGCGAGGAAACAATAGACCTAAAACGTAACTCTGATGAAAAAGATGAGAGAAAAATAGGAGTCGTCGTCCCATTGGGTCCTAACTACGTGTGCTATACAATGTTAACGGAGTGATATCGATTTAATTGATTTTCTTGTACATTATACGAAAGAGGTGCAGTACACTTGGAAAAAAGTTCACATAATTCAAATCACATAATTTAAAATTGCTGCTAATTTATAATAAATGTACAAAAACAGAAAAAGATATAACTTGTTATACTTATAGAATGTGAAAATAGCTACGTTCTATTATGAAGGAATATATGACAGCACACTATATTCCTTCTATATATATTTTTTGTTTTGATCATGTGAATGTTTTATACCAATGATATATGTATCGGACAAGATTTTTATTAATAAAATTATACATAATATATAGAAAAATTTCTTTTATATATAATTATTATATATAATAGAAAAAATGTTTCACTCTAATTTTTTTTTTCTACAGATCTGACAATTATTTGTCATTTATAATGTCATAATGATCAAACTGTCAAAATGACTTCTCTTATACATCTGTTTTTTTTTTAATTGCATAACTTTTATATTTTTGCTATCTTTCTTTCAAATCCTAATTATATTTATCTATCTTATATATTTATGCTTTCTATACTTTATTCTCTTCCAATATATATATATATATGCATCGGCTCTGTCATGTAATTAAACCCACCTTACACTTTTTTAAATACCTCCTTTTCCAAAACTCGAATATATATTCTCTGTCTCATTTTGAAGCACAGTTTTAAAGGCAGAAGGTGCAGAAGAGTGCAGTTAAAACATAGCTGGCCAGTGGCGGAATTAGCGTCGTACATACATAATACGAGAAGATGCGACAGAATCAGAACAAGTTCAATCATTCCGCGTGACGAGTCCAGTCGAAAAGACAGAAAGTACTTGTCGCAAACACGTCCGTTCGCGTGCATCGGAAGAAAATTATGCAATCTCGTTCAACACGCTCTTGTTACCGAAGGATCAAATGAAGGAGGCTGACTTTCCTACTCTCTCGACATCTCGAATCTGCAATCGGAATGGTTTCCCTGACGCGAATCTCTTTTGTTACGCTTTTCTATGGTAAGTGGCTGTCGGCCACACACCGAAAAATATTGCCTCTGTTTGCAAAAAATAAAATACATTATGCGATTTGTGATAATTTTGCGCGCGCGACGTAATCTTGCACGTCGGCCGATCGATAACATACGATTCTCTTGACATTCGTCTAATTTAATTACTATGTACAGAAATTTTATAATTTATAATTGTATGCGCATATAGAAAATGTAGCATATTTGTTTGCATTTTAATTTTAATTACATTACTATCTCTCTGTATGAATTTATAAGAACATCTGACAAATTCTATTTATCAGTCAAACCTGGTAGACATTTAATTCAATTTGGATAACTCGATTTTATTCGCATGCAAAAAATATCTTTTTTAATTTCTTAGTTAAAAAATATATTTGTTTATCTATTTCAAATTAATTAATAAAACGTTTTATTTGAAACATAACTCTTAGTTTCATCTATATAACTTCAATGACAGATGTATCAAGCGACGCGGTAGCGGCGCGACGTCAAGTATATGAAAAAACGATTTGCCTATGCACAGGGGCCGCGACGCTACCAAGTAGCTTATTACCTTTATTTCTCATCAGAGTTTTTGTAGCGTGCACATTCATATATAGTAAAATACGATAATCTTCAATGAAACTTTGGTAAACAAGTTTGATTTGATTTGCGTTATACTCGATTTTTGCATAATCTCAGCAATGAGAAATATTTCTATGTAAGCACTTGTTATCATTCAATTACATTTTAGCTTTTTCAGCAATTTTGATGCACACGGCAGGCTCGCGGGTGATCGAGCTGAGTGATAGGTATGAAATCTAGCAATATTGTATACTGTTCAACTTCTCCAATTATCAAAAAGATGCTAATCATTTAATATATCTGCTTCTTGCAGATTTCTGGATATACACAAAGATGGACAATGGCTGGTCATGGTATATTCAATTTCTATGAAGCATATTTATCTCCTATATATTCAAAATATATAACTATGTTTCCATTTTCTGTAGATGTATGCGCCATGGTGTGCGCATTGTAAAAGATTGGAACCGATTTGGTCTCATGTTGCTCAGCATTTGCATGCAACATCAATACGAGTGGGACGTGTGGATTGTACTAGATTTACCAGCGTGGCAACTTCATTCAAAATTAAAGGATTTCCCACCATTCTATTGTAAATACGCCTTTTTCTCTGACTACTAAATATTCATACAATAATATTTTCAATTTACAGTTTAAAAGGTGATCAAGAGTATGTATATCACGGTGATAGAACTAGAGAGGAAATAGTCAAATTCGCTTTAAGACTAAGCGGTCCTCCTGTGCAAGAGGTAACGAGACCTCAAAGCTTTGACACTATAAAGAGAGAACGCGATCTCTATTTCTTATACGTGGGCAGTAGATCTGGAGTCCTATGGGTAAAATCTTTTTACAATTTTACGAAAATATTATAAAGCCAGTTTGAAAAATTCAAATTTAACAGGAACTTTATCACAAGACTGCAAATATATTTCAACCGCATGCATTCTTCTATCAATCTCATCCGAGCGTTGTAAATAAACACGCACCTGTGGAAAATGTTCCGGCATTATTCGTGTACAAAGAAAGTTCGCATTACAATTTCACTGGTGAGAGTTAATCGAAGGAAAAAGAGATAATTATTATTATTATTATCTGTAATGAATGTTAAATTCGATTTGCAGGACACAATTTAAGTGATATAGAGAAAATGAACGAGACGCTTTATAAGTGGGTGAACGCGGAACGTTTCCCGACGTTTCCGAAAGTGACTAGAGGAAACATAAATCAATTATTCTTAACGAATAAGAATCTCGTTTTAGCGGTAGTGGAAGAAAATCAGTTAGAAGAGGTTGCGCCCGACATGCTGGAGTTCAAGGACATGGTCGAGTCTGTGATTAAAAGCAAACGGGAGAAATACCACGAGTACGTTTATTTGATAGCATATATTTTAGTAGAAGCACTGGATATAAATTAACATCGTTGTGTATTCAGCCATTTTCAGTTCGGTTGGATAGCTAGTCCCGATCTAGTCAATAGCATAGCAATGATGGTACTACCTTTACCGAGCTTAATTGTGATAAATACAACTACTAGTCACCATCATATTCCCGAGGATGAAACAGAGAAACTGACTCCGTACGTGATAGAATTGTTCCTAGAGCAGATTCGCAATGAAAGTGCTCCGGTACACGTCTTTTATATCTTAATAATTCTGCTAGCTGTTAAAGGAATATATTAACAATAAGAACCTATTATGATTGATGAATTTTCAGCGATACGGTGGAAACAATTGGCTAGTGCGTAGTTATAGAACTTGGTTTGAATTGAAAACCACTCTGGCTTCAATGTGGAAGGGCAATCCTATCTTAATGACTGTATTGGTCGGATTACCAGTTGGATTCTTATCGTTAATATGTTATGGCATTTGTTGTCCAGATATCTTAGATGCAAATGATGAAGAAGATGGTATAATGTTTTTATTATGAAAAAATGTACTAATTTTTATAAAGAAATAATAAACATACGTAATCACTGTGTGCTTTTTTCAGAAAATGCTGGAACGAGTCATATGAAGAATGATTGAAAATAATTATGGATGTAGATTACGTGGAGAATTTCGAGATAAAAATTTTTTATCATATATAGCATACATGAACAATTTTGATTATATAATATGTTCTTAAGAAAAATTTGCCAAAGCAGTTTTTTAAAACTCTGAGTATTTTTATACAGTATTGTATATCGCTAACACATTCCATACATTTTTATTTCTGATAAACCTTTTTTATGTATGTATTAATTTCTTTTATGATTATGTTGTAAAAAAATGACGCGTATTCCATGAGACAATACAACCGAGTTAAATATGTACACACTCGGAAAAATTTGTCTTTTAACACAGCTTTAAAAAAAGAGTGTAAGATATATCAAAAATTTGTATATTAGATACGATTGTTCACATAATATGTGAAAGATCGAATTAAGCATCAAACATTGTTTTTTTATATATATATGGACAAATAATGATAATATATTTAGAATTGTGTAAGTTATATACATGTATATGTGAAATTGTTGTTTGTTGTATTGTGTAGACTGCAAGTGTGATTGTGCGGTTTCTGTTTGAGAAGGAAAAATAATCTCTTGCGTGTGTTAGACATTTGCTGAATGTATATTTATATGTATCAAATAAAAAAAAATAAAAAATGAACATTTCTGTTATGTTACTATTATTACTTAGGGATATACGAAATATTTTATTGCCAAGTGGGACATAATATTAAATAGTCTTTCCTTATATCTATATCAAAATCTGCCAAATTGGCATTAATAACTTTTATTTTTATAGCATAAAAGTAAAATACAACTAAGCATAAAAGTATATATTGAAAAAGGTTACCTTCAACTGCACACACAAATCAAGAGCAAAATTTTGTTGATTAAAGTAACATTTCAGATATAAAATTTGTACATTTGCTACAAGTCCATATCATCATCTGAATCCAAAGCTGCTCTCCTTCTATCAAACTAAAAAAATAAAATAAAATTTTGGTAATGTTTAATTCTATTATTAGATGCATATCTATAATGATTACTAACTTTGACAGTTGTTTTCCTTTGCGTTTGTTGATTTAAACTCTCAAGTAAATTGATCAACTGTTTCTCTCCAAGCTTTCCAGGTAGTTGTTGATTTTGTGCCATATTTAAAATCATTTCTTCTACCATTTTTCCTTTCTCTGGCTTTCCAAGACAAAGTGTGTTCACTATCAATAAATATACACATAGATTATTAATTAAGGTACCTATATATTACACATATCTGTGATATCAATTCTAAAGTACAGTTTGACAATGCCAAAAAAGAAGGTTATATGATATAACTTACATCTCGCTCTAGCTGACTGATCTAATACTTGAGTTAATATAGTATGTTTCATCTCTTCCATACGTTGCATTCTTTCTTCCATCGATTGTTTATTGTCGACATTGTTATATTTGAAATTCTCTTGTAAAATATACACGAAACAGTATACACCTAATCTCAATATTATATACATTTTGCTTCTAGGTGTAGAAATGTTGTATTTAAATAATTATCAAAGAGAACGGGTAACATATATAATTTTTAAACATTTTTCTCTCAGCTACAAACTCGTGTGGAATTCCGTGGCAATTACCTTATATTGAGATTGCAACTGCATCAACCGTTGCTGTCGTAATGCTTCTAATTCCGGGTCTGACATATTTACGCTTTTGTACTTATCTTGTTAGATTTTTTAGATTCTCAAATTAAACCTGATTAAACAGCGACTGACCGCGATGGATCATGGAGCATGGACCGCGACTTAATGACGTCTATTAAATCCCTCAATGCCACAGATGATATAAGATATATAGATAGCTAACTCCCGTATTTCGCTTATAGTCTATGGCCTATGGTCTATGCTGTTTTAAGCACCAGCACCAGCTGGCCAAATGCCGACGAGATACGTATGTATACGTGTGTAATATGAGTATTTGTGTGTGTATAACACCGGCATATAATATTTCCATATATGGTAAGTTTTTTTTTTATTTAGAATATCTGTTATCTATTTTATATTTTTTTTCGGAAGATAATACTACTCTTTCACTAATATGCCCAGGTCCCATTTTTTCTCATTTTTTAAAATATAAAAACTTCAAAAGAAAGAAAGAAAATTTCAAGATTCTTAAAAAACTTTTCTTGTCAATATCTTAGCACGAAAAGAAATTATAATATTGGTTGCAGGGATACCGATCTAGAGATTCAAAGCAATATTTCCTTGATGTTTTAATTTCTGATTTATATTTATATATTTATTTTTTAGTTGATAATATTTTTTTCTTGCGCTCTATCTCCGATATTTCTCATATATCGCGAAACAGCGATTGGACGACGGATAGTGGAACGTAGAATCCATTGGTTGTTTCCGGTACCGCCTGTCGGCAAGAAATGTCAGACGACGTGGCCGGTGATAGAATATGGTAGGCTGCGCAAATAAAGCGGCGATATATTACTTTGAGGTTCGATATGTCATATAGTGAGAGCCGATAAAGCGGATATCGAGTTAGGCGTATTTTGTCCGTGTTTCAACGTTGTTTCGATCCTTTCGCACGACGTTGCAACATGGGTCTGTGCAAATGTCCGAAAAGAAGAGTAACGAATCAATTTTGTTTTGAGCATCGTGTCAATGTATGCGAACATTGCATGGTCACGAGTCATCCAAAGGTACGTTTTCGCCAATCGTTTTTACATGTAGATACCTCTGACGAATATTTCTTTGTACAGTATCAAACGGTTTATCATAATCATGTATGATTAATTTACATGTGTTTTACAGTGTATAGTACAGTCATATTTGTTATGGCTCCATGACCATGACTACAATCCAATTTGTACATTATGTTCCGACAAATTAAGCGATGGTGATTGCGTGAGACTGACATGTTATCACATGTATCATTGGATATGTTTGGACCGATATGCCAGGGATCTACCGGCAACAACAGCACCAGCGGGATACACTTGTCCCACATGTCGAGTGTGTATCTTTCCGCAACCTAAACTCGTGTCACCAGTTGCGGATGTTCTTAGGGAAAAATTGGCTACTGTGAATTGGGCTCGGGCTGGTCTTGGTTTACCATTGGTATCTATTGCGCTAATTTTCTTACAAGCACTAAAAAATGTTATCTTTTGCTATATAATGTTTTTTTTTTTTATAGTTGAGCAATGATAGAGAACAAAAATTGGAGCAAGAGCGTCCTTTGATAGCAGTAGAGAGCACTTTGTTCCAAAACCACACAGTGACTACGCCAGCATCTCCTACAGTTGCTATGTCTCGCACAAGTAGTACCATCAATTCGAATTCCACTGTTAGCAATGTACATGCGAACAGTCAGAAGCTCGGTCCGCCTTACTCAATCGTAAATATTGAATCGTCTCTTGGATTATCCACTTCGGCATCTAGGAAGGTATGTGAAGCTTATGACGATCCGAAAGATATGTCCTTTGATCACGATGAAAACAAATACCAGCGAAAATCCGCCATAGAATGGTTTCTAAGATGGTGGAAGCTGATATCGAGAGCACCGGTGCGACGGAAAACCGCGGGGTCTTTGTATAAGAGATATGCCTTAATAATCTTTGTCGGTATATTATTCTTTGTTGGGATTATTCTGCTCTTTTCATGGCTGGGCAGGATGGCGACGGATGGTGATCCGAGCTTCGATGTATTAGCAAATCCTAACGTGAAGCGTGGTGGATAGTCTGTGTAATGTTGTATTATGCATTACGCGAGAGCGATGACAATTGTCGATTGTCATGTGAAACGACTCCGGAAATGTGAGAAACGTGACAATGACGAAATATATAACTGCGAGAGAAGCGCGAATACAATTGCAATACGTGAAAAAGTGTAATTTTATGGGACATATAGGACATATCTAGTATAAGTTATAGTGTATATGTAACGTTTGTTAATTTTTATGTAAATTATATCTTATATCAAAGTTGTATATTTAAATCTGTAAAGGCTTATCGATTTATAAATTACGAAATTATCGTATCAAAAATTATAGCACAAGAACTTACTTATCCTATCCATATACTTGTTATAAGACTGAGGAATGCATGTACATTATATATATATATATATATACACACGTGTATGTGTGTGTGTGTGTCTGCGCGCATGTGTTTAATAATGACACAAACATGTCCCTTTTTTTAACTTGTTCGCTATATAATATTATATTTTGTATACATATTTAACATTTATATTTCGTATTTTACAATCAATTATTATTCTTTGTATATTTGTGTTTTTATTTGATACTATTACAATACGAATTAATTCCTATAATGTTATCCATCTTCTTGTAAAATGTCTTTTTTTAAAGTTAGAAGCTCAGAAGTAGCCAAATTTTTTTGATATCTTTCCAAGACATGAATGTAACAAGAAGCGCAACGTATTCCGTACACTCTTCTTCGATGTGGACTATTGAAATTTAAATGAACCGAGTCGTATCCCTATAAACATCTCCTCCCATGAAATATTAAAATGCTTACAACCGCGTACGCATAAGATGGTTTATTGGTGCCTTTATATTTCTTTTATTCTTCATAGTTGCTTATTAGAAACAAGTACATATCTTTATTCTTTTGCAAAATGAAATTTTGTTATTGTTTTATAAAATCTATTGAAATTACTCCATGTTATATATTATAATAACAAATAAAACACGAGACTTTAATGCAACAATAACTTTGGCTATCAACAATAGTTTTGAAAAAATCAAAGAATCGATAATGTATAAAAGATAACAATATAGTATATAACATTAATTTATCTTATACTAATTTATTTTTCTTCTTTAATAGTGTTGTCATGTGGAACGGAAATTCAATGTACTGTGTTACTGTCTATCATGCGAATAAATCGAAACTGAATATCCTGCAACTCTCGAATACTCCCACACAACGACGTACAAGATCGACAACTAAAAGATCAATATTTGTTACAAGTTCTCCACACCGCATACTTTATTTCGAAAAGCAGCGGGCCCGACGGCGCCACACGGAATGGGTGGATTGAGAGTCAAATTTCTTCTACAGGGACCGGTCGCGCCGGTGATCGCGCAGGATTACATACTTTCTTCATCCAGCGAGCATAGCGATATACACGTCCGATCGTGTGCGAGGTTCCACTCTTCCATACAAATTCATATGTAAGTATAAAAAAGCCGAAAAACTAACAATGTAAATATATATATTTCAGTGCGACATTTTCACACAGACACGATGATGTAAAGGGCGTATTTTTGAGTTATTAAACTCGACAAGATATTTAAAAAGATTGTAAACGGTCGGAGACCGGTTTGCGTGTTTGATCTAATCTAAATTGGTCTCGTATATCGGACACGCAGGCTAGAGTGACCAGCAGCATAAATTGAAGAGATGAACTCGGTGAAAGAAGTATACGGTAACAGATGGATGGCATGGTGGAGAAGAAATTCAACGGCCTTACCCGTTGCCACGACGATTTCGTGTAATCTCGCGTACTGCGTGGAGGCCGGTTACACGCGCATGGCTGCGGTGCTTTCGATGATTTCGCTGGGTAAGATAGGATCCATTTGTGCTTGCTTACGTTAGCTGATATATATTTCTTGGCTTCGTTTGCTGACTATGCTGAATCGAATTTGAACGTATCCGTTGGTACTTTGAATTTTCTTTAAATCAATATAAAATTCGAAGAGATATAGAATTTCTTTTCTATATGTCGTCGATATAAATATTTTTTTCTTTTTTTTGTATATTTATAAGAAATTAACATGTTTCTTTTGAGTTCTCAGCGCGAATAAAATGGTAAATATTCGCAATTTGCAAGATTTATTTTAAATGCGGCTTGACTTAGTACTTAGTTTTATGTACAGTTATGTCAACTAAATTTACTTTTCAGAAAACGTCTTAAGAACGTTTCATTTAAAAACCTTCCGTTAATATTGTAATAATAGAATATAATTTCGATTTTTTATATTTTTTCAACGATAGAAAGTTTGAAAATGTTTACTCAAAAGTTAAGATTGGCGAATGTAGTTGAGGATTTTTCTTACCGCTCCTCTCTTCAGGTGGTGTTACCTTGTACTATATTTCTAAACGTCGATGGAAAATAAAGTCGCGAGATCTTGTCATTCTAACCGGTTGCAATTCCGGTTTGGGCTACAGTCTAGCAATGCACTGTCGCGCTCAAGGCGCAACAGTTTTAGCCGGGGTGCGTGAAACAGCTATGGTGCTGAAACCCAACGCTGCCGTTGAATCATTAAAGGATAAAGGCGTCATCGTTCACCAACTCGATATCACGAATGAAGAATCCGTCCGGGGATTTGGGGAAAG